GGTCAAATAGTATTGCATACTGTCTTTCCAACATAGGGGTCAGATAGTATTGCATACTGTCTTTCCAAAATAGGGGTCAAATAGTATTGCATACTGTCTTTCCAAAATAGGGGTCAAATAGTATTGCATACTGTCTTTCCAAAATAGGGGTCAAACAGTATTGCATACTGTCTTTCCAAAATAGGGGTAAAATAGTATTGCATACCGTCTTTCCAACATAGAAGTCAATAGTATTGAATACTGTTTTTCCAAAATAGGAGTCAATAGTATTGAATACTGTCTTTCCAAAATAGGAGTCAATAGTATTGCATGCTGTCTTTCCAAAATAGGAGTCAAATAGTATTGCATGCTGTCTTTCCAAAATAGGAGTCAAATAGTATTGCATACTGTCTTTCCAAAATAGGAGTCAAATAGTATTGCATACTGTCTTTCCAAAATAGGAGTCAAATAGTATTGCATACTGTCTTCCCAAAGTTGGAGTCAACAGTATTGCATACTGTCTTTCCAAAATAGGAGTCAATAGTATCGCATACTGTCTCTCCAAAACAGGGGTCAAATAATATTACATACGGTCTTTCCAAAATAGGAGTCAAATAATATTACATACAGTCTTTCTTGCTTCCCTAACATTTAGTTCATCTAAAGATCATAACTTTGCCGAGATATCTGGAGCTTATACAAACTTAAGATCACAAACAATACCTTCTTTAAATCAGTTTGTGACCATAAGCACCATTATTATTCTTTCCAGCCAGTGATCTTGTGAAGTGAATTATTCTTGCAAGTCACAATATTATCTACATGACCAATGATATTAAAAACTTGAACTCAGCGTGAAAATATCTTGAAACTTGTTGTAACTTGGCATCAGACTTTAAATGTCTTTAATCTTTTCTGCTTTCTTTGCCCAAGTTCTTTCGTTTTCTAGATTATTATTATGTATTTAGACTTCTGTATGTTATCTTTCTCTACTTGATTTGGTAGTTGCTTATGTAACTGTAATTTACATTGAAGATAGACCATTTCCTTTACGTTCGATTTTATTACTTGTGCTTTCTACCTGTTCTTTCATTTGCAGATTTTTGTTCACAGTAATTCTGGTGTATTGGAAAACATCGAAATTTCCACTTTGAAAAACCTTTTAGTCAGACTTAAGACGTTCTAAAATAAAACATTTTGGCAGAATTTGATTATTTTGTTTCTAGGAGTCGATACAGTTTATCTTTGCATAAATTTGTTTAGCGTAAATATTCTCGATTTAATAAATAATTAAAATCAACATTTCGTACTTACACAATTTTAAAAACTTTATTGAAGCCGTCAACGGCTTCCACTTAAAAAATACACTCTACATATACAATGTTTCGACGTCCTCCATTTCGTCTTCAAGAGTTATCTGCAAGACATACTAATTTATACATTTTTTTCCTGTCACATGATATTGCATTGCTTCTGTATTTATTGATTTTAATTATTTATTAAATTTTAGACAATATACAAGTACCGATCATTCATATTTATTCTGGATTTGTCGTAATTTGATTACAAATGACTTGCTATATATCCTCTACAAAGTTAATCAAAATAAGTTTTAATAAAAATTAAATGGTTATCTTATGAATGACATATTATACGAATATACAATTGGTGGGTTTATGTTTATGCTGTAGGAATCTTCAGCTTGTGAATCTTATGCTATATGAATGTGCAGTGGATAAATGCTTTACTCTACAAATTGCATTTCTGAGGAATTTACTGTATGAATATTCTATTAGCGTGTGCTTTACATATTTAATATACACATAGTGAACGTTTTACAGTTTGAAAAGTACAGTTACAGATGTGTACGTTTTATGAATGTGTAGATTTTGTATTTTTTCAACTTTCTAATTTTCCAGTTGCTAAGTGACGCAGCCTTTGAAAGCACTGCTAACTCACACAAAATTATAACTCCTATAATTGATGTTCAGTATATATATGGATTTTTTTTCACAGATTTGATCCACTAAAATTGTTGATCGTGACGAAGCTTCCTGTGGTTAGGATCTCTTCTAGTCATATATATAAAACCCCACTTCTAAACACCAGAATTTAACTAAATTCCTTTGTATGAAACTATCTTCTACCGTCTAAAACTTCAAACATGTTTGTATATTTAGCTAAAGCAGCTACAACAGGATGGATACAGCCTTACTTCTTTAGATCAGCGTGGGATGACAGCTTTACATCATGCTGCTCGATACGGAAAGAAGGACATTATTCGGTATCTTATTGCTAATGGTTAGTAATATGGATCACACACAAAGATGTTTACTTTGTATAAAATAGTAGTGGTGTGAATGCTATTTAAAGAAGCAAGTGTTTAAATACAATATTTTTGGGATATTTCATAATTATTTAATCCATTTATAAGCACATTCATTATTAATTAAATATCAAAAATTTAAATCCTAATTTTGTAATATTGTATATTTTTGTTCCATTAGCGTTTTTAGACTAAAACTCTTCTAATCATTTATATTAATTATGTACATACACACACACACACACACGGAGAGTTGATCGAACTTTGTAAAGATAATTTGCATATGTATTTTCGACAACATGACAGCGCAACACCACCATGGATAGACTTAGCACTTGTCTCTGGTAAGATATATACCACAGTGCTTGCCAAAAAAGATCATTCGCATAGCAAAATAATAAACGGATACAAAACCCCGAAAATACGTGACTCAAAGATTCTTTTGGGAGGGTAGATACAAAATCACCTAAACAGCAGTCCACCAGCTGCAGAACTACCGCTATGACTGCCAAGTCAACCGAGAATTCCACCAACACAAACAAGCAGTTGCTAACTAGTTACACAAATCCTAATGAACTATACAAAGATAATTCGCAATGATCTTACTCTTGTAAAGAAACGTAAACCACGAGTATGCAAGCTACTTTCCAGTCATATTGATCAGAGAAAAACCAATTGCAGAAAACTGTCAACAAGCTTCAGACGTTTACAAGCGTAATTCATAGACTTTCCTAGCTTATAACACTAAGCCTTAAAATATACATTACACATAAGTAATATCTTAGTCGTAATATACGACAGTTTGTTTTCTGTAGTTATTTTTTTTACATTTACATTAACATTTCACATTTGAAAACTGTATCTTCTGGTAATTTAAACCATTTATAGTAGGTCCAAGATATTATGTTGTAAGGCATTCGATTATATTAACAAAAATGAACAATATATGCCTTTTTTTGGGGGGGGGGAGTTTCTTAATAAAAATAATTATAAATAATGTGTATCAATTTATAAACATTTCCGACTCGTTATTTGATTATTTTGTACTTGTAGCTTCTCCAACCATTCTGGAAATGGTGGATAATGAAAAGTGAGTATTAGTTTTTTGATTCTATCAGAACTCATCATGACAGCTGATCGCCACAATCTTACTTATTTATTCCTAAAATAAAACCAAGATTGTTGAAGCAAATGTTTCCTAATTGATAACCAGAATGCTTTATAATATCAATGTTGTAGTTGATTTTAAACCGAGTTAACATGATAATCTACAATATCAATATTTTGGGTATTTTAAAGTGGGTTAAGAGAATGCTTTGTAATACCATTTCATTGTGTGTTTTATGAAGATCCAAAGAAAAAATATTGGTAGTTGATTTAAATCGAGTTAATAGAATGCTTTATAACATCAGTGTTGTAGTTGATTTAAATCGAGTTAAGCTTTATAATATCAGTGTTGTAGTTGATTTAAACCGAATTTACAGAATGCTTTATAATATCAGTGTTGTAGATGATTTAAACAGAGTTAACAGAATGCTTTATGATATCAATGTTGTAGTTGATTTAAACCGAGTTAACAGAATGCTTTATATTATCAGTGTTGTAGTTGATTTAAACCGAGTTAACAGAATGCTTTATAATATCAGTGTTGTAGTTGATTTAAACCAAGTTAACAGAATGCTTTATAACATCAGTGTTGTAGTTGATTTCAACCGAGTTAATTAATAGAATGCTTTATAACATCAGTGATTCTGTTAACTCGGTTTAAATCAACTACAACACTGTTGTTATAAAGCATTATATTAATTAACTCGGTTGAAATCAACTACAACAATGATGTTATGAAGCATTCTATTAATTAACTCGATTTAAATCAACTACAACATTGATGTTATAATGCATTCTGTTAACTTAGTTAAGACTGTAATTCATTATGGCTGACTAAGTTAACATGATATTACTTTATCTTGTCCTAAACCAACGTTGTTAACTTAACTAATATGAGAGAAACAGTATGCAAACATATCTCTTGTTATAAAGTTGTAATAGAAGATACTATTTGTGTAGAGCTAAACATTACACAGGTTTGCGATGGTTTTATTGTCTTGAAATTTCTACATATTCTTGTAATTCTTGTACGCTGAATCCGAAAATGATATCCATTTTTCTCCATCACGTAAAAATTTTTCATAAAACGTCATATTTACTTTTACATAAGTGAATCATTTTCATTGAAATCGGGTCACATTTCGTTATGCTTAAAATACTAACAACCACTGGTTATAGATTTCTCTAGACCAACCGCGACGTGAGAGTCTTATCGATTGTTCTAGAACCCACGATAAACACACCGCTAGTATATAAACGGTTAACTGGCCGCATGATGTGTCATTTCTGGATAATATTTGTTTGTGCGTGCACTTTGACATTATTTCTTTCTTTTCAATATTATTTATTCGTTGCTATAGCAACAAGAGGTTTTGTAAATGACCCAAACATATTTTGTTATATTTGTGTTAAATTTGTTGCAAAGAAACAAAGGCAAAACATTACATAATTCGTCAAAAAAGCGTATGACGTGTATTTTGGAATAAAACTTGGGGACCAAGACGAATCATGGGCTCCGCACAAAGTTTGCATCGTTTATGTCGAAGAGTTGAGACAATGGACTAAAGGTAAAAAAAGTCTCTGCCTTTTGGAATTCCAATGGTCTGGCGTGAGCCTAGAAACCACGGAGATTTTTGCTCATGTAACGTGCAAGGCTACAGCACTCGCAGTAAAAAGGAAATTTCTTATCCGAATCTTCAGTCTGCTATAAGACCTGTTGTTCATGGACCTGATGAACCTGTACCTACTTCACCGGGGTCTCTTGATACAGTTTCATCTGATTCTGAATCTGATGTCAATAGAAATGATAATAGAGATTGTTTCCAAACTGAAACGTCTGGAAGGTTTCATCAAGACATCACGGAAATGGAGAGGAGGCATCAGGGAAGGTGGAACATCAGCATAATGGTTGATTACTGCTGGTCATTGAAACGAGATGCCCCAGACGCAATACATAAAAGAAAGACCACAACACATAGTTTTGAGACTAAAAGACGTATATTTCATTAAAAAAATCAGGATGATTGAGGATGCATATTCGTTTGACATCAATGTTCTTCCCTTTTCTTCAATTTGTTTGTATTTTTATTAACAAACATAATAATAATAAATGTTCATTGTAGTAAACGAAATAATAATCTGATCTAAGTAAGTTTTTTCCCGATTTGTAAAAAATCCTTACGTAATAGAAAAAATGAATATTATTTTCGAAACCTGCGTAGCTGAATTATAGAAAACCCGTTATTAAAACAGAAATAACTTTTATGAAGTTTAAATTCACAGACCTGTGTAATTATCAGTCTTATAGCCAACAAGTTATATAACGTATTTTCATTTTAAAAATCTTGACAGCTATTAAATGTCATACTAACATTTTTTATTTTATGTATTTTTACAATGTTAATTTTACATGTTTGTTTTTGTCATTCGTGCCAGAGGTCAAACAGCGCTTCACAAAGCAGCAGCTTACAAACGTCGTACCATTTGTTATCTACTTGTATCAGCAGGAGCATCTTTAACAAAAATTGACAAACAGGTACCAAAACAACTTAGTGGATAAACAATAAAATGTCGCTGTATATAATAAAAAACAAAGAGTATTGATATTAATCTTTCGCTTCGCTATATCCCCGAGTTACTGACGAATTGTGATTAATTTACGAAAGTAGTCTAACCCAAAGGAGTGGATAGAATCATAAAATAGATCAAGCGGTTAATATTATCTTCTATCACTGAACGAAATGTGATCAATTCTCTCAGACAGTGATGTCCCATTGAGATAACAGAGGACTTTATTGGTTGGCGGTACTGTTGCTTCTGTGAATATTTATAGTATCGAAGAGTGTTGAGAAAAACACGACTAACATGATGTTTTGTTTGTTTGATTTGAATTTCGCACAAAGCTATACGAGGGCTATCTGCGCTAGCCGTCCTTAATTTAGCAGTACAAGAGTAGAGGGAAGGCAGGTAGTCATCACCATCCACCGTCAACTCTTGGGCTACTCTTTTACCAACGAATATTGAGATTGAGGGTGCTTATAAAGTTGTTTATTATCTATAAACTGCTGGGCCAGATGGTTAGGGTGCTCGACTCGCAATCTGCGGGTCGCGGGTTCGAATCCCCATCCCACCAAACATGCCTGCTATTTAAGCCGTGGGGGCGTTATAATGTGACTGTCAATCCCACTATTCATTGGTAAGAGGGTAGCCTAAAAGTTGGAGGAGGATGGTGATGACTAACTGCCTTCCCTCTAGTCTTTAAACTGTTAAATTAGGGACGGCTACCACAGATTGCCTTCGTGTAGCTTTGCGCAAAATTCAAACCAAACCCAGCCTTATTTTGATTTTATTTTAATTACATTTTATATTTTATGAAAGTTTTTAAAATTTTCTTAAAGATACTTCCCAATTTGTGGTCGCAAAATAATTATCAAACAATACTATTCAGTACCCCATACAATTTGTAAGCGTTTTATTTGCTATATATGGTAATACAAAAGTTACGATTTGTAGTTAATGATACTTTTAATTTCTAAGGGAATGACACCGAAACAGTTAGCTGCAAAAGCAGGAGATGATGCTCTAGCCTCCTATTTAGAAAGTAAGTGTTTTTCAGGACAATAATGATGTTAAACAGTTAAATCAAAATATAATTTGTGTACATTCCTGTTACTCAAACATCGAATTAGAAATAATCTAAAGATAAATTTATAAGGAAAATGACCAAACGAATACCCTCATCTTTATGAAGAAAAGCATGTAATTTGTCACTCTTGATGTATAATTTACCTCATTTGAGAACTAATCCACGCTATATTTACTTGATAAATACAATCAAGTTTCATATAACTAATTTTACATCTACTCTGTATGATTTTGATAAGCTATAGGGACCATTTTCCTTCTTATTTTATTGATGAACACACCTTTTTACCCTTTCACACCAAACGACTTCTGAAATTTTCTATTTTTTAGAGATGGAACTGGCACTCTAGTTTGCACACTTTAGTATAGTAGTAAACACAAATTTGTTGGTATTGGATAGCAAATACCATACCATCTCAGAACTGCTATTTCGAGCTATATTAGCTCCCCTCATGCTAGAGGGTTAGAAACTAAGAAGTAGTGATAATTCACTGTTTTTGATAAGGAGGTTTAACGAATTCTGGTATTTTTTCCAGATCAACAACATTTCCAGATGTTAATTCAGGACAAAGAAACAGCAGTATAACAAAAAGAAGAGCTAGTGTGGAGTTCCTGTACCCCATAGTTTCTGATGTACAACAGAGAGTTTTGGAACAAATGTACATCTGATGAGCCGAAGATAAATACACCATGTTTTTAAAACGAGTTTTCTAGCATCTAGATAGAAATGATATTTTGTCATAAGCATAAAATAATTGAGCCTCATTTTCTGTCACGCCGATTTTGTGTAAAACACCAGTGACACCTGGAAGATAATCTGGTAATACAAAAATTGGTTTATCTTCTACTTCTAAGTTTTTATGTCAAATTTACGAATATTGCAACAGATTCGTTTATTTTATTGTTGTGTTTTTTATTTGAAAATTAAATTGTCTGTTGATAACTTACCTATAAATCACAGAGTTAAAAGGTGTGTTTTATCAAATTTTCTTTGCGAGGTACAAATACTGTTATTACTTTTATTATTAATCTATTTTAATTGAAAATTAAATTGTCTGTTGATAACTTGCCTATAAATCACAGAGTTAAAAGGTGTGTTTTATCAAATTTTATTTGCGAGGTACAAATACTATTATTACTTTTATTATTAATCTATCTTAATTGAAAGGTGACAAAAGAAAAGTGGGAAAATAATCCTATTATTCGCATTTTTTTTTATAAATTCGATATATTTTTTCTGGTGTTATTGTAGAGTTTTCTCAGGGCCACTTTTACTCTTTGGTTTCACTTTCATACCTGAGAAACGTAAAAAAAATGGATAAAAGTAAGCCAATATCTGCATTACTGTTTTAAAATGATTTGATATATATATATATGCATTAATCTGGTTTAAAATGGGTAAATTACGTCAGAAGTAAATGTCTCATGACATTTCTAATGTTTTTTTATAGTTTTCTCGGGGTCACTTTTATTTATTTTTTTATTTTATTCATGGTAATTCTGTTAAAATGTTTGTAGCTATTTATCTTAATATAAGTTAGTGTATTGTACTCAAAAGTAAAGTGTGTTTTAATTACATTTTATTCAGATTGCTATGAATGAAGAATTTTTGGAAATACATAAGTTTATTTCTTGACGTAGAAAAGCAAATATACTATAATATAAGAGCTGTCAAATGGTATGGTCTATTGACCACTTCACGTTCGGGTTTACATTCAAACCTTTTTCCACTTTTGGAGCAGAAATTTAAAAAATATTTAATTAAATTAATTCATGTCCTAAATCAGCAGGTACATGAAAATAATTATGGACTGGTGTGTTGTAAAGAATCTCGTTTCACGTTGCACGTGCAGTATTCAAAGTCATTCACGCCCCTACTATTGTACTTATTAAATGTGCCGTTACGAGTTAAATTATACGTCAAAGGAAAATATTGTTAATATCAATTCACGTGTTAATTCTTTAGAATCAGTAGTCTACTGTGTAATAATAAAAACTTAAATGAACTACGTGAATTAAGAAGTATGACATTATCCGATCCTAGTATATCAAAAAAACATACATATTAAAAGTATTTCACCAGTTAGTTTACTCGGGCATCCATGGAAAAAATAAAGAAATATATATAATTTCAATGATAGTATGTTAAGTACGTTGTATGAGATTTTTTAATTTAACAGTGTAAGCTGAGAAATTAGTAAAAATATTCAACTTCGACTATTTTGATACAAAGTACTATGTTATATATAGTTAAAGGGGAACTCTGCCTGTGACATTGTATAGGAAATTATTATGTATGCTGAATTACATGTGTTGGTTTAGTAACATAATTATGTAATAATAACCATAAAATGCGATAATAAATGTGAGATTACTTACTGTTCCCTAGGTAACACTTCACATGTTAGGTTTAGTACGGCTCGTGGCATACAAACGTTGGTATCTACTCACCCCTTCCTCTGCGTATGAGTTTAGAAGCGAGGAGAAGCGCTGCTATTTACAGAATACCGAGAAAACGATCAATAAAGTTAAACTTAGAAATATTTCTTACAGTCCAACATTTCTAATTGAACCCGAACAAGTTTGAACTTAATAAAATTATAAAAGTTCGTATTTGAAACGAACGCTCTTTTTCCTTGACAGACAATTAGTGCTGAATTTATAGCTGCCACCTGGCCCCCATAATTATTTCCGGACACTTTGAAACAGAACAGGTTTTTAAAGATGCCGCTAAATTGAAAGAAATTGAAGCATAAATTGAACGTTAAACCTTTGCTAAATTGATATTGTTGCTTAATTAATACAAGGCAGCATGACAATATATAATAATCTTTTCTGAAATTCAAAAATAAAATGCAACCTTCATAATTCAATTATATTTTCACCATAGGTCACTGGAATAAAAATATGTTATGGTGATATGTATGTCTATAGAGTAAAGCAGTTGTATGCATGTATTACAAACGATTTTACGACAACAATAATAGACTAACTTCCCTTTTCTTTCTCCTGGTCTCCAGTCGTTCTCCGCTCTATTGGCTTGGTGGAGGGTGCGATGCTTGAAAAGAGTTGGCACTGCCCCTTCTATAAGGTACCGTCATGTTTTTACACCTGTAAATTTAACCCATAAATCCACCTTGAAACACTCGGGAATGAAGTGTTCCTCCCATACACATTGTTTTAACCAAGAGGAAATGTCTAGATTATGTAACCTTTTCTGAATTGCTCTTGGGATCTGACAGTGATTTGGGGGACGTGAAAATGTAACTCAGTGTTATCCTCCTAACTGCTAGTGTAAACGTACGCTCGGTCATGTTGTTGTTGTTTTTTAGCAGGTGTTGGGCCTGTCAACTATAATATTTAAAAAAATAAAGCACCTTTGAAAAGCAATGTAAAAGTCGCAGTTCTCAAATCACTGGTTTTTGTTTGTATTCAACACGTTTCAGCACTCAATTCCTGGAAACTTGCCACAATATAACTAGGAATCTTCGTTTTCGGTGTATATTTCTTGCAAGTGTATCTGTTTTTGAATATTTAATGGACAGTAATTAGGCCATCTGCGTTCCTTATCTAACGTAATGATGTATATTAATTGCAAAAGAGGTTGAAATATTTATGATACAAAGTTAAACAAGATTTATGTTGCTGTTTGAGTAGCGCCTCTTTCATAAAACCTAAAATTTCTGTGCAGAAATTCCCATGTGTTAAACTGCTATTAATGAATAAAACAAATCTAAAGGGATCGGGGAGAGAGAGAGGGGTTGTTTAAAAAAGGTACAATTACCTTGTTAACATATGAATATGGTGTCGTCAATAAAAGGCTCGTTTATGTAACAAAACGGAGACGATTGTTTTATACTACAATTAATAGCTCGTAAGTTTTAACTAGAAAGTGAATCGGCTCAAAATCTGTTTTAAGGCAAGTAGATCAAGAAAAATGATAATGATGAACGCTAACGATGGTCTCTGTTATTCTTCATGCATCCGCCTTGATCGCTGCACTAGATTATATATATATATATAGAGAGAGAGAGAGAGAGAGAGAAAGAATAAAAACAAATCATAAGTCCACTACTGTAGAGATCTGTTGTTGTTTTTTTATGGAGATTTGTTCCATGTACATGTAAAAGAGAAAAACAAATCATAAGTCCACTACTGTAGAGATCTGTTGTTGTTTTTTTAGTGGAGATTTGTTCCATGTACGTGTAAAAAGACGGCGAGAGTGAACTAAAATAAAATACTGCATAAGAGAATTAAATGCAGCATGATAGTGAAAATTGTTGGATTGTGAAGGTAGATGTAAAGAAAACTGGTTCGTAAGATATAAGCAGTTGTTGTTGTTGATTTGTAACGAGAGTGGTGGAGTGACTGGCTGATAGAGGGCGAGCTAAGCAGTACAGACAGTAAATGGTTCGTATAATTTATGATGGAACGTATATTTTTGTAATGATGAACCGTTGACATTCGATATAACGTATTTTTAATTATTTGTAAACCAAATTACTTTCCTATAATATCTATTATTTATTGCAGAATTGTTCGGAATTATTTGTAATCAAATGTCTTTATTTTTCTATTGATTTTGCTCACAGAATGCTTAGTACATTAAATTGAAAGTATTTTAGCCATGTATTTGTTTAATATAGTTTTATGTTAAGCATTTAATACTGGAAATATTAAACGGACACAGAATTTCTAAATTTCTCCGCATGTATAAATTTAAGTTTTCTGCAATTTTTATTTTTTGAAATTTTCTGCGGTGTTGTTATTGTTTCTAATTATAGGATTTTGCAACACATGGGAAAATGTATGAATACTGAGGTGTTGTCCTATTAAGCCAATCATACGCGAGTATCTTTCTGTACGTCACAGCGGAGAGCATGAAGGAGGGGGGATGTAAAGCAAATGACTTCCAAGATCCGTCATTATATTCATATTTAATTGGACAGCTTTTTGAACTATTTTAAATGCCCAAAGTCAATGTTTTGACATCCATTTAACGATTTTAGTCACATTTGTGTTAGCTCCGGACTTCCCCCTTCAAGACATAATATAGCCTGCCGAATCACATTACTAATTTTCACAGGAAATGCTGAAGTTTAGAAACATAAACGTGATAGAAGATAGAAATATTTTGTTGTCATTAGCGCTTGACAGATCAGTGGAACGTGCACTAAATTAATTAGTGTTATTGTTCTATCGTTCTACATTATGGAATATGGATGTGCGTTTACCCTATAGTTATATAAATCAGATTTACACGGAATTGAACACAATGGATAGTCGAATTACGTATTAGGCTTGTTAGGGAACATTCGAGATGTTCCTTTTACTATTTACTAGAAATTTTCATGCAGTTCTTAAGAGTAGAGAAAAATAATATCATGTACTGTACGAACACGTGCTTGATTTCCCTTCCCACATTCCTTTGAAACGTCAAAGTTTTTATTTTTTGCCCTGTTTGTAACAAATGTGTTTTAGAGTTTAAAAAGCATAAGATCACACGAAGTAGTGTCTTTTGGAAGTATTTCATCACATTTTAGTTTTGCATTAGTACAGTCACTTAAAAATTAACTTTCCTCTGCTATTGTAACAGCGCCAGTCTTTTTTTCTTTCCATATAACACTGTTATCTATACAGAAAAGTATTGGCTAATGATCTGGTGTTGAATTTTGTATAGATAATATGAAAATTTCAAACAATGGTAATAAAACGAACTTTAATGCAAGAAACGTACTAATGTACTACCAAATTATTTTGAAGACTTATCCTTAATTCAGGCA